TGGAGAGAGTATTACACATACAGGCAAAAGGACAACAGAAACCAAGAATTAATAAATGGGGGGAACAAGCTTAGCGGGGTCATTACTGCTAAAAAAAAAAGTGAGGACTTATTACTCATAATCAGCTCAGCATCACTATGCAGTTGTCAGCATCATCTTTTGTCAGGTGTTTGAAGAACTTTTTCTTAAACGTTTGCTTCCCTTGGATGACTGAAGAGGGAGCAGAGTTTTGGTCAATCCTCCATTGTATTTCCAGCTTGCCAGGATTGTTAAGAGATAGAATGTCTTGTCGCATTGTTCCTCAGTATGGACTTGCTCACGCAGCCTTTGTTAAAACATGGGAAGGAACAGTGCTGTGCTGTGAATCGTACAAACAGGAGGAGTTGAGATTGACTTTGTTGTAGAGATGTTTACTCAACCATTGAGTCCATCTCACCAAAGGCCGGATTCTTTCCCTATCTCTTTGTTTATTTATTTAGTCTAGTAACTTTTATTTTTCTTTCCACTGGGGAGGGAAAAATTGCTTTGGAATCCCAATTATAAAGATATAGTCTTCATATTTGATGGTCCACACAAGAAATATGGTGCTAGAAATAAATGAATGTTAGTTAATAATCAGCATGTTCTCCCAGTGTGTCACTTTAGCACTTGTAGTTTTTGCCCTAGCTCTCCCTTTCATTTTTTTTTTTTAAAGATTTTATTTATTTATTTGAGAGAGAGAGAGATCGCAAGAGAGAGAATGAGCGGGAAGGAAAGGGAGAAGCAGACTCCCACTGAGCAGGGAGCCCGATGCGGGGCTTGATCCCAGGACCTTGGGATCATGACCTGAACCAAAGGCAGACGCCCAACCAACTGAGCCACCCAGGTGCCCCCTCCCTTTGATTTTTTTTAAATTTGCCTTTACTTGTTAAAATGTTAAAAGTATATTCTAAAGAGTAGCAATCAGAGTAATAACACAGCATCTAAAAACAAGATGCAGTACGGTGGTATTAATAATATTAATGGTAGCTTGCAGTTAAGAAGGGCCATGAGTTATGTTTTAAGCTTTGTGGTCATTATTTATCCCCCTGCCCCAACACACACACACACACACACACACACACACACACACATACACATGGACTCATTCGCTTGCAAACTCCATACTTTGAAGAATATTTCACAGGTGAGCAACTGAGTCTCGGAAATGTTAAGACTTACCCAAGACCAAATAGCCAGAAAGCAGTGGATCCAGGAGTGGGGCTCTTCAGGGGCCTTTCTTTTGCAGTTCACAGGGACCCACTGAAGCACTATGCTCCTGCGTTGGTGGAGGCACCTTGTCTCATTCATCTTTGTACCCAGCTCCTAGCACAGAACAGAATGGAACAAGGGGGTGACGCAACTAGTACTGTATTTTCGGAAGATAAATCTGGCAAGAATGAGTGGGATGAAAAGAACAGGAAAAGCTGGTGGCGTGGAGAGCAGTTGAGATGTTATTTTAATAATAAAGACCATTAACAAGATTAGGCCTGAGGGAGAAGCATTGAGAATAGAAGTGAAGCAGAGCATGTGGAAGAGATTTAGCTTGGGGGCGCCTGGGCGGCTCAGATTGTTAAGGGTCGGCCTTCGGCTCAGGTCATGATCCCAGGGTCCTGGGATCGAGTCCCGCATCGGACTCCCTGCTCCTTGGGAGCCTGTTTCTCTCTCTGCTTCTCTCTCTCTCTCTCTCTCTCTCCCTCTCTCCCCGCCCCTCTGTCTCTCATGAATAAATAAATAAAATCTTTAAAAAAAAAGAGAGATTTAGCTTGGAGGAGGCCACGTGGCTTGATGACCGTGCGCAGGCAGTGAAGAGTACCAGGTCTTTGGATAAGTATCCGATCATATAGCAAATATTTCTTGAGCATCACCTTTGTGCCAGGAACTATTCTAGAGGCTGGGGATACAACAGTGATTAGGCAAAGGAGGATTTTGCTCTCATGGACCTTATATTCTCATTGGGGGATATATTGGTCAGTGTTCTCCAAAGAATCCCACTGTATCCCACCATATTATATATCATATGTATATATATTTGTATATATTATATATATTTATAGATCTATATATATATATAGTATATGAGAGAGAGGTTTCAAGCCATTGATTTTTCAAGAAATTGGCTATGTGATTATAGGGCGGGCAAGTCAGGAATCTGTAGGGCAGGCCTACAGGCCAGGAACTCGAGCAGAATCTGATGCTGCCAACTGGAGGCAGAATTTCTGCTTCCTCAGGAAAACTCAGTTTTGTTTTTATGGCCTTTACCTGATTGGATAAGGCCCACCTAGATTGTTTAGAATAATCTCCTTTATTTAAAGTCAACTGATTGTAGATGTTAACCAGATCTATGACATTCCCCTAGATTAGGGTTTGATTGAATGCCTGGGCTCTATAGCCTAGCTAAGGTGACCCACAAAACTTACCATCACAGAGACGTCAGAATGACCAGCACAGAGAGGAATGACCTGGGGTGTTCGAGAACAATTACCAGCTTTTGTGGCTTGGAGACTCTGAGAAGACCTCTCTGCATGAGTAGGTGTATCTCCAGCTTACAAATGGGGTACCTGAGGCTTGGGGATAGTAAGAGACTTACTGAAGCTCAGACAGCTGCCGACTGCCCTCCTGTTATTCTGACACCAGCACGTGTGCGGGAGACCCAGCAGAGGCTGCCTCCCCAGAACAGTCAGAAGGATCATGATGTTCGACATTTTTCCCCGGAGGAACGCCATTTGGTGAGCAAGTTTGGATTTAGAGCTTGCTCCCTGAATGCAGAGCCTGAACATAGGGAGGTCCGTACTGCTTTGGGCGGGGGGGGGGGGGGGGGGGGGAGGGGGGGGGCTGCCCGGGGGGGGGGGGGGGGGGGGTGGGGGGGGGGGCGGGGTGGCTTCATCCCACTTTAGTGCCCCCCTCACTTCTGTCAGTGCCCAGCTCAGGGCTCTGGTGCCAGTCGATCATTCTGCCCAGAACACCCTCCTTCTCTACTCCCTTTCATGCGGATAATGAACATCCATGCATGTGGCCCTTGAGTGTTTGCTTTGGGACTTTATCAGAAAGATCTTCCCTGAGTACCGAAATGAGATAAATCTCCCAGTTAGAAGCCTCCCCAAACTCCGTGTTCTTCTAATGTGGTACTTAGCACTGTTGTCATTAAGTCGTCTATTTCTGTTATTTTATTAACATCTGCTCCTCCTATTGCACTCCCAAAGGGAAGGAGCCAAATCGCTACCATGCTGATTCCCAGTGTTGAGCCCAATCCTTGGCGTTGATTACTTGTTAGATGAATGTATGGAGAGACGAACGAATGAGTGTGATATGTAGCTTCCAAGGAATAAATCTGCAGGCATTCCAGAGGATCATATGGGAACATGATGACACGTGCAGGTTGCTACTCTACTCTCCTGTTCCAGTTGCCAGTCTAATCCGATCCAGCATGCATACGGCTAACCCCAGCCTCAGCACGTGGGTTTCTCCTCAATTTCCATTTAAAGCTGGCCCTTGGGCGCCTGGGTGGCTCAGTCATTAAGCGTCTGCCTTTGGCTCAGGTCATGATCCCAGGGTCCTGGGATCGAGCCCCGTATCGGGCTCCCTGCTCGGCGGGAAGCCTGCTTCTCCCTCTCCCACTCCCCCTGCTTGTATTCCCTCTCTCGCTGTGTCTCCCTCTGTCAAATAAATAAATAAAATCTTTAAAAAAATTTTTTTTAATTAAAAAATTTTTAAAAAAATAGGGGCGCCTGGGTGTCTCAGTCGGTTAAGCGACTGCCTTCGGCTCAGGTCATGATCCTGGAGTCCTGGGATCGAGTCCCACATCGGGCTCCCTGCTCAGCAGGGAGCCTGCTTCTCCCTCTGACCCTCCCCCCTCTCATGCTCTCTCTCCCTCTCATTCTCTTTCTCAAATAAATAAATAAAATCTTTAAAAAAAAAATTTTTTTTTTTAAATAAAAGCTGGCCCTTCCCGCCCTCTTCCCTGATTTAGGGGTCCCTCTGAAGCATCTGAGCTGAAAGCCCCCTATCACAAAGAAAACGGTTGGAACTGTTAGAACAAAAGAAGGCAAAGGTGAGAGACAGAGAGTAAACGTATTCCAGGAATAGTGCCGCACTGAGGACAAGGTCAGGCATGGACGGGATGTCCTGCGAAGCCCTCATACTTCAGGCCAACCCTTCCCTCTCTTCTTGCCCCAGGCAGGAAGTTCTCTCTGCTTCTGCCTGTGGTCGGGAGTCTTGCAAGTGAGAAGAAAAGCTTCTGACTCCAGCAGCCCCTGATGATCTCTTGGGCCCCTGAGAGCCACATTGAGTGAAAGGTCAGTTAGGAGGGCCCCCTCCTGCCCCTCCTGAGCGCCCCGCTTCTCCTGGCGCAGGGAAGGCTCGCGGGCCCGGCGCACAAGAGCGGCAGGGGCGTTGAGCACGTCAGCTGTACACACAGTAAAGGGTACAGGGCCGTTCACTCTGGCTTCTGCTTCGGCAGCCAGCGGTCATCACAACGTAGAATGGCATCTGTGTCGTTAAATGCTTCCAGGAGCGCTTCCGCCCTTCTGTGTGAGCGCCCAAATATTAATGGAAGCAGGCCTTTATTTTGCAGTTGTCTTCTGACTGGGGGAAAGAAGCTTTGGATTTATTTGCAAGTAGTCTCTCTCGAGTTATATCCTCAAAGGTCTGTGCAGGCCTCCCCACTTACATTCTTTCCTGCTAAGTGTTCTTCCTATTGAGAAAGAGAATAATCTCTCTGTGTCTACATTCTCTACGTTTTCTGAAACTTGGAAGACTTAGTTGTGAATCACAGAGGACAGTCCTGGGATCCAGACAAAGTGTGACTGTATCAGCACAGGGTATAAGAGGAAGCTCACTGGCCCAGGAGCTAGGAGATGGAGGTTTGAGTCTTGGCTCTGTCTCTGAGCAGTCGAGTGACCTTGGACAAGTCTCTGGGCTGTGGTGGACTAGGTTGTTCTCTGCAGTTACTGCCACTCTAAGATGTATGGTTCTCATTGCAGGCATCTTTTCCACAAGTCCTGTGTTGACCCCTGGCTTCTAGACCATCGCACCTGTCCCATGTGCAAGATGAACATTCTTAAAGCCCTAGGGATCCCGGTAAGCACAGCCCAGCCTACAGCATCGTAAAGTGTGTCTTTCTGCATTACTCCCAAAGCAGGGAGAAAACAGCACACGTGGATTTTCTCTGACCCTTCACCTGCACAGCAGGGGTGTCATCCGATGAGGCCCCCGAGAGAACGCCCAGGTCCAAAAACATTTCTCCTCTCACTTTCAGCCGGGGAGCATCACAACCCTCTCACCACATTCATGCCTGTGACCCGAGATGCTGCTTCTGCAGCTTGTAAGCTTCTCATCTGGGTCCCAGGGTGTGAGCGCAGGCAGGCCATAGCAGAGACTGGATGGCCCAGTTGCCCATTGCTCGCCTCCTGTACATTTCTCCTGCGCTGTCTGCAAGGACATCTGCATGCCACGCTTGCTGAGGCTGCCTTACGCCTAGCTTTCCCGGGAAAGAAACTCTTCTCAACAAGGGGAGGCAAAGCCAGCCACTGGGAATCTGGCCCAGAGCCCCTCCTCAACTCAGGTCTCCACAGAGACCTCGAGTGAACAGGCAAGCAGAGCCAGAGCCCCTTAATTCTAGCACTGCCATCCCGCCTGGTGCCTTCAGTTATGTGTTTATAAAATTCAGTCTCTCCCCCATTGCAAAGTGAACCCCGCCAGCTGGCTGGCTCGCTGCTCCAGGGAAGGACTTTCCCAGGACCATATTAACGCGAAGCCCACAAGCTGGTGGTTGGTGAGAAACCAGCTGCTGCGGGGAGGGCAGGAAGCAAGCCAGGCCACCAAATCCGAGGGCTGCGCAGAGAAGTGAGAAAAACACGGGCACTGTCTAAAACCAGCTAGACAAACAGGATGCAGAGCCCAGCCTCCTCCCTGTCCCCTTCACTCTGCTGCAGCCTCTCTGTTGTCACTTCTCCCTACTAATGGCAGAGAATAAAGAGAATGTTAATGGTCCCAAGATACCACTGAAGAAGAAAGGACCAGATAGCAAAGGTTTCCTTTCATGCCAAAGGGCTAATTATCCTGGGACTATCAGAGTGCCTCTGTTGGAGAGGGCACACCTGAAGCATTCTGAGGTCATGCATTGACTGAATTTTCTACCCTGTACCAGCTGCGTCCACGCCAGCTGTATGCTGTTTTTCATGGTTGATACACCAAACACAGATCAGCTCATGTGACTGTCGCTTTGAGCTAGATTTTATAAAGGCAAAGCATTAAATTTTCAGACCAGAGTTGTAAATGCATAATGCATTCAAGGTGAAAATCAATTACAGTGAACATGAAATTATTAGTAAGAACCCAACCTCTCTACCAGATATTGGGAGCTTAGAAAATTGAACTCAGGGTGTGCACTTTTCACATTTCTGGCTGCAACTGATTCATACGGGGGTGGGGAGACATGTAGGTACGTGTGTACCTGCATATGTGTATGTTGTCTTTAGTCTCCAACATCTTTAGAATACTTACAATGAAAGGTAGACAGTCACATTTTTCGACCCAGTTCCTGTTCCTCAGGATATTCTCGAAGCTCCTGAATATCAATCCCAGTGCTTCTTGATCAGGACAGTGAAATCAAACCACCCCTGGTAGTTAAATTTTGTACTAAATAACATTTGAGGGCGCCTGGGTGGCTCAGTTGGTTAAGTGACTGCCTTCGGCTCAGGTCATGATCCTGGAGTCATCCCAGGATCAAGTCCCACATCGGGCTCCCTGCTCAGCAGGGAGTCTGCTTCTCCCTCTGACCCTCCCCCCTCTCATGTGCTCTCTCTCTCTCATTCTCTCTCTCAAATAAATAAAATCTTTTTAAAAAATAAATAAATAAATAACATTTGACTTCAGACTTTTCCAGAGGACGTATGACTTCTCCAGGAGCTATTGAGAATGAGTTGAGAATACAGATACTGTTTTAAAAAACAGAATTATTGGGTGGCCTTTGGGCTTATTTCCAAAATTAATAGCATTTTCACTTTTAGCGGTTGGGCATTTTGTTCATGGTTCCATGCCCACCAAGTATGGAAGATAGGATTTTACTTAGCACACTTGACTTCCAGAAAAATAAACATGGGTAGCATCTTTGGGATTTGACCAAGGATTCATAAAGGCCAGCTGAACGGGAACATGACACGTATCTGAGCTCGACCCGGAGAACAGAACATCCTCCAGGAAGAAGAAGGCATGTGTGCTACTTCTCAGGAAGTACCAAGGCAACTGACTAGACTCTTGCCTCCCCAAGGCTTTTCTGGTTTTGTTCTAGAGGATGATACTGAAGTCTGGATCTGGGAGGAATTTGGGATGTTGTTCCACTCCATATTTCACCATTAGGTAGCACCATGCCTAAACTATACCAAAAAGGTGATTTTTTTTTTGGCATTCATATAACTTTCCATGTCACTGGACAAGCTCACAGCCTTCTCAATTAGTAAATACTTCCTATAGCTAACTGAAAGCCTTTGTATGCTGCTTACAGAGATTGTTTTATAATTTTTCTAAATTCCTTGTATTCCATTCTTAAGGAAAATTGAAAAGAGCTTGTCAGTCTCTAACAATTAGTGCCTGTCGGTGCTTACCTCTGTTTCCCTTTCATATGCCAAGTTCTCAATAAACGTCAGTGGCATTGTTGAACTTCAGAGTCTGAAGGCTGCCAGTCACAGAATCATATTTATGAAATTCACTCTGGTCCTCCTTTGAACACTGCCCGCTCACCAAGGCCTCGGTTGTAATCTTGGTCAACTAAATTGTCCAGATACAGGTGGAAGGTTTTCTTGGCTCGGTTTTGGTTTTGGTTTTGGTTGTCTTTAACTGAGCATCCATGTGTGCCCTTGTGCTCTAAGGCAAATCCATGTAAGTTGAAAGCTGGAAGCTGAAGCAAACACCTTCTCCTATCACTGTTGTCCTGGTACGAATAGCATGATAGTTATTGAACAGAAATCCAACGTAGCTGGGGTATTCCCAACTTCCTGACTATTTAGAGATTGGTTTATTTGAGGAGTTTCCCCATGCTCACCTGAATTTGAGTACCTATGCCGTATTCACTTGCAGATGGTATTTGACATCTCTGCTAAACATTTCTCTTAGAGGTCTATAAATTAGATTTCTTTCAAAATATTCTTTTATTTGATGAGCCACGTAGAGTGGATATAAATTGGGAGTTTCTCTAAGTTGTGGTCTATTAAATGTTATACCGAAGCCAAATTATTCATGTGTGCCACCATTAACAGTCTCATTGAGCTAATTAGCTCTTTCTGTCTTTCCCTCCTGTTAAAGATATAATACTGTTCCTACTAGTCCACAAAGTAAAAGAGAATACTCTGCCTTGAAATTAATAACTTTTTTTAAAAAAAAGAAAAGAGATAAAACAAAGGAACGATATCAACAAGCAAAGTCAACATTTTGAAAAATAAGTCAGTTGTTATCGCATCTGTGACTGCATTCAGATGCTTAGGGATGAAAGACCAACCAGCACGGTATTCTCATCATGAAATCTTTTCTTTCCTGACACCCCACACACAATTGGTTTTGCTTTTAAGTGTTTTTATATACTGTAGGGGAAGAAAAAAACATGTTTTTCCCCTTCTACCCTCCTAGGTTCTCTGACTGGGGTCCTGGAAATGAGACTGGCCAAAGATTACTAAAGCAACCAGACATTTATTCACATGTGCATTGCCCATGCACATGGGAGTGTGTAGGGATGAGTAACTCAAAGGGGTGGTCAGAACTTGGACATACAGAGCATCTTCACAAAAGAACAAATTTCTAGAGAAGCGACAAGACAAAGGAAAAGGACCTTGAGTTTCTAGGGCAGCAAATTGTGGGAAAGTACATATATGAGGGAAACTAATGGCAGATAAGGGCATGGTAGTAAGGTGTGTTATTACAGATCCATTTTGGCGTCAACTCACAGACTCTGTTAATAAGAATGTTCTCTTCCTGGTACAATGAGGGAGGCCACCTTTACAAATTTATGCCCTACTTTTAGGCAGATGGGAGGAAGGCAGATAACATGTCTTTTTCTGCTTCTTCTCGACTGTGTTTAACTCAAAATAATCGTTATGCCAGCAGCACACTTTGGGGTGGCATATTCTGCTACCCTTGAATAGCATACCTTACCTCCGCACAGAACTTGACAGTTTTTTAAAAACACTTTCTCAAATCCTCCCTTCATTGATCTAGGGCAAATACTAACATTCCCAGCTTCTCATAGTAGTGAACTGAAACTCAGATAAAATATTCAAATTGAGGGGCGCCTGGGTGGCTCAGTCGTTAAGCGTCGGCCTTCGGCTCAGGTCATGATCCCGGGGTCCTGGGATCGAGCCCCGCATCGGGCTCCCTGCTCGGCGGGAAGCCCGCTTCTCCCTCTCCCACTCCCCCTGCTCGTGTTCCCTCTCTCGCTGTGTCTTTTTCTCTGTCAAATAAATAAATAAAATCTTTTTTAAAAAATATTCAAATTGATATTTACTGAGCACCTAGTAATTGACAGACACTGTATGAGGGCTTGGAATTTAAGATCAATATAATGTAGTGACTTCACTTTAAAAAGCTCATGTCTCATTTATATGTGGAATCTAAAAACTGAGCTCATAGAAACAGAGAACAGACTGGTGGTTGCCAGAGGCCGGGGGTTGTGGTGGGGTGAAGTGGGTGAAGGTGGTCAAATTATAAGATAAATAAATCCTGGGGATATAAGGCACAGCATGGTAACAATCCTATATTGTATATTTGAAAGTTGCTAAGAGAGTAGATCTTAAAATTTCTCATCACAGGAACAAACTTGTAACTATATGGGGTAATGGAGATTGACTAAACTTATGTGTTAATCATTTTCCAGTATATATGTGTGTATCAAATCATCCTGTTGTCTAAACTACCACAGTGTTATATGTCGATTATATCTGAACAAAACTGGGGGGAAAGAAAGCTTGTGGACTAGTAGAGTGAGACAAAGACAAGCATAATTACAAATAAACCATAACAGAGAGAAAAATGCCTACAGTGTCACAGTATCAAAGATGCTACCTGGGAGGGAACACTACTTAGAAAAGGTGACATTTGGGGGGCGCTGGGTGGCTCAGTTGGTTGAGCGACTGCCTTCAGCTCAGGTCATGATCGCAGGGTTCTGGGATCGAGTCCCACATCGGGCTCCCCCTGCTCTGTGGGGAGCCTGCTTCTCCCTCTCCCTCTGTTGCTCCCCCTGCTTGTGTGCTCTCCCTCTCTCTCTCTCTCTCTCTCTCTGTCAAATAAATAAAATCTTTAAAAAAAAAAAAAAAGAAAAGAAAAGGTGACATTTGGCCTGGGAATTGAAGGATGGTTAGAAATTCACCACAGTTAGTTGGAGACCTGCGGATAAGAAAGGGGGTGGGGGTGACTGGGGCTGAGCAGAGGAACAGCATAAGCTGAAGCACTGAGATAGCGAATATAGGGTCTGTGTTTTCCAAAGGCTGAGGTGAGGCCAGAAAAGCTGGCTGGGGTGAGAGTGTAGAGACCTTGTTTTGCCCCACTAAGGAGGTTATAATTCATTAAGAGAAAAGAAGAACATATCTTTTTTTGGTTTTTTTTTTTTAACATTTTATTTATCTATTTGAGAGAGAGAAAGCATGAAAGGGGGGAGGGTCAGAGGGAGAAACCAATTCCCCGCTAAGCAGGGAGCCCAACGCGGGACTCGATCCTGGGACTCGATCCCAGGACTCCAGGATCATGACCTGAGCCGAAGACAGAGGCTTAACCAACTGAGTCACTCAGGGCCCCACTTTTTTTGTTGTTTTTTTTTTTAAAGAGTGCTCTGGTGAGAAACTAGAGAATGGAATGTACCAGGGAAGAAACTGTAAGGAAATAGGGAGGCTAGTAATGAGGAGAGAAAATTCGTAACATACCTGCTCATGTCCAGTGTTAACGATCTTTAAGTTTAGTAAATATGGTGGGTTGGTCATTCAGACTTTTGATAACTTGAGTTTCAATGAATTGGCTCACTTCCAATAGAGATGAAGAAGGTGAAACAAAGAGAAAATACAGAAAAAGAAGAAATGAGCTGAATTTGAGCTTTTTTATGAGACTGATGGACATTTCCAACTGACTGCTGGAAACACAAGTGTGGAGTTCGGGAGACTGGGTTAAGAGTGGAAAGTGAGGACGAGAGCGCCCCCCCCCCCCCCCCCCCCCCCCCCCCCCCCTCGGTTTCTTGCTTTGTGCCCCCAGTGAGTCCATGAGTTACAGATTTTCCCTTTGGGCGAACTTTGAGCTCCGTGTAGTCATTGTGATGTTAATTCAGTCAGTGCCAATCCAGAATTTTCCTCACCTGATCCTACCTGCCCTGATCTGCACCCATTGAGAGTGCAAAACCACGTAACTACCATCACTCAAGGCAATGTTGATGGTTAGATCAAGCAAAAAAAAACTTTAATTCATAGCTGTTCTTAAGATTTCTCAAGACCGTATCTCTGCAACACCATCTTTTTAAAATAATTTTGGAGGCATAACAACTGACATTTTAAAAGCTGTTTGCGGAAGACATATAAATATACTCAATATAATTTCAAATGGCAGAACTAAGACCAAAGAGAAAAACTTGCAAAGGGTAAGATTTTGCCCAATGATAGAATAATCTAACAGAGCTAGCCAACACAGGCTCCCTTGCAAAGCAGAGAGCTCCCCATTTTTATGTTATTCAAGTGAGGCTGTCAGAGATTTGAGGATAAGGGCCTGGAGGGAGGGGAAGTCTTGCGATGAGTGGATCGTTAAACTAGATGGCATCAGCATCTAGTTTTAGGATTCTAAAATTTTCATTTAGAGGACTTGACAAATGCATGATCAATTTGCATGTTAAGTAAATAGGTTATTTTTTACAGCTGGCTTTGGCTCATGTTTAACCACCACAACAAAAATAGCCTCACCCTGTGCTTTTGTGTTTATCTCTACTAAACAGCTCACCATGAGTCAGAGTCTGTCCCATCCCTACTCTCATGTCATCAGTGCGTTTGCAAACAATGCATGGGTCTTTGGGGCTAATTATCTGCTGTCAGCTACTTCCTGTATGAGGAGCAAACACTATATATAAGGAAGGGCTATCATTATAAATAAATGCCATGTCCCCCCCCCAAGTATTATATTAATATATGTATATTGCTTCTCCCGGAATTAAAATGTTATATCTAGATGTGAATGGAACCCTTGAAAAGGAAATTTTAGAAGCTGTTTTATGTTAATTACAGAAACTATAATGGAAAATTTTTTTAAGTGATTCAGGAGGAAGACAGTAAAGAACTTGGTTTTCCATTGAGACAAAAGACTTAGGCTATAAACATTTCATTTCTAACTTGATGACAGACACTAAGGGCAGATCCCTTTCTGTTCATATCAGCCCAACGCCGACTGCATGGATGACTTGCCCACCGACTTCGAGGGATCTCTGGGAGGCCCACCCACCAACCAGATCACAGGCGCGAGCGACACGACTGTAAATGAAAGTTCAGTGACTCTGGACCCTGCTGCCCGGACGGTGGGAGCCTTGCAGGTGGTCCTGGATACAGACCCCACCCCGCAGGAAGGAGAAGTCATCTTTACTACTAACAGTAAGTTCTGCTCTGCTTAGTAGCGCCATAGTCCACAGAGGACTTAGAAAAAGACACTTTTCCTCAAGAAGAAAACAAGTGAACTGAGTATATAACACTGCCAGGCTAAACAGTTGTACCCAGCAAGGCCTTTAGAAGCCCAGCGCTTTCCAAAGCCAGCAGGGCAGTCAGCAGACCTGGCTGTGCATCTTGCCTGCCCACACACGAGAGCATGTCATACCACGTGGCACCTGAAGTGGGTAGGGCGCTGGCTCTGGTGTGGTGAAGAGCAAGTGAAGAAGGCAACTGCAGGGGATGCTTAGCAGGACTGGGCTAGGGCACAACCCTGCTCACTCTGTGTGAGTGTGTGTGTGTGTGTGTGTGTGTGTGTGTGAGTGTGTGAGGGAGAGAGAGAGTGTGTGCATGGCTGTACAAGCTGGCCTGGGCTGCGTGCAGGAGGGTGCGCTCCCCTGTTGCTGCAGGTCTCAGATGTAAATGGTATTCCTTTAGGTGGGTGTTTTTACAGTCCGACCCATACCCCTGTACACGGTGACATATTAAACTATCTTCGGATTTCTTCCCCATCCTCTGCATATACTCTAACCCCAACTCTAGTTGATGGTAGTTATAAAAATATGAAATAGCTGTGTTAACATTCAAGATTGAAGCTAAAACCTAAAGCATTTGCTCTTTAGTCTTATACAGGAGAGAGAAAAGCTTTGGGAGTTCTAAGAAAACCAGCATGCAAATGAACTTCGGTTTAAGGTTTAAAGGGTGGATGGATATTGAGATGTTAAAATAAGGTGTATTAGTTCTCTTGATAGAAGTAACCTATTCACTATAGAAAATTTGGAAAAGGAGAAAAGCAGATTAAAGCCTTTGGGGCTTTTTCCTTTGAAATTGGTCTCTTTTTTACATATTTGCGATATTTGTAGAATTTGTAAAAATTATTCAGGCTGAAATGTAAAGATAGGCTTTTTTCTGATGAAGAAACTAATAGACCTTACTGTTGAAAGACTGAAACATGAAGAATAAAAAAGAATGCAAAAATCACTCAGTACCCCACCTGGAAATCATCACTCTTAACGTTTTGGTATATTTCCTGATAATCTCTTATGGGATAATTGAGACATTACCATAGGTGTTGAATGTGGAATATTATAACTGTAGAACTTCCCTAGGTCCTCAACAGAAAGTAACTTCAAGGGGCGCCTGGGTGGCTCAGTCGTTAAGTGTCTGCCTTCCGCTCAGGTCATGATCCCAGGGTCCTGGGATCGAGCCCCACATCGGGCTCTCTGCTCAGCGGGGAGCTGGCTTTTCCCTCTCCCACTCCCCCTGCTTATGTTCTCTCTCTCGCTGTCTCTCTCTCTCTCTCTCTCTCTCTCTCTCTCTCTCTCTCTCTCTCTCTGTGTGTCTGTCAAATAAATAAAATCTTTTAAAAAAAAAAGTAACTTCAAGAGGAACTTGGTGGCAAATATCTGCCCCCGCACCGTTTATTAGTTTTGGGTGGGTAAGAATTTTGACTTTGAAAACTTGACTTTTAGAGGCATTAATGACCTCAACATTGAAACAATGACCTTTAGACACTTGAAGTCCTTAAAGATGAATTCCGATCCCTTTGTTTTGAAAGCCTAGGGTGGTGCTGTCCAGTATTAATATAATGTAAGTCACATATGTCATTTGAAATTTTCTGTAGTCACAGTAACAAACATAGGTTAAGTTCATTTTAATGATCTATTTTATTTAACCCAATATACTAAAAATATTTTGCATTCTTTCTTTTGTATTAACGCCTCAAAATCTGGTGTGTGTTTTACATTTACAGCACATGTCAGTTTGAACTAGCCGCACTGCAGGGGCTGAGGAGCTGCATGTGGCTAGTGGCCCCCATACCAAAAAGCATAGACCTAGAATCCTAGTCATTTTGGGGATAGAAGAACCTTAAAATTAATTTCTTCTATACCCTGATAAACTTCTAATTTTTGGCATGAGACAGTCGTGGCCCAGAAGAGTAAGTGGTTGATGTAGATCAGACGATAAGTTCCCTTTTCAGAGTCCAAAGACTGTCCTGTAATTTTTCCATTTCTTGACATCTTTGCTTCCCATCAGACATTTCACTGCTCACTGTCTCAGTGAAGTATATCGGAAGGCCTGATAAACTTCTGTTCAAAAACACTGAAGGCTTAGTTTTTCTCAAGCCCATAAGAAGAACCCAATCAAATATGGATCATTTTCCTTGCCATAAAATATTATTTCATTTTCAAGAGAAAATGTGTCCTCTGTGAGAGTCCTTATTCTTGAAAGTTGATATGTACTTCACACATCTCCATAAAACCCAGATGCCAAATGGAAAGGCATCACTTGTGGGCTAAAATACATCCAAAAATGAAATATGGGATCATGGTCTGCACCGATATACTTCGTAATCTCGAAACCGTTTTTGCCTCAAATAGACTCAGGGTATTTAGGCCATGGCAGGCATTCAGTAGATGTGTCCAATCTAATCTTGAAGCAGGGTGCTCCTGATCAACAGAAGGAAAAATGCCAGGTCATTGTAGAGGAAGATATTGGGAACTTTGAAGAAGTAAGAGAGGTCTGAGGCCACCCCTGTGATCAGAAGATGGGGATGGTATACAGGGATATGGCTAGAGAGATCAGTCTCTTAGCACAGAAACTGAGTTTATTCTCAAACTGTTGTTTCTAGCCCATTTATTTCTGATTAGTTTTATTTATTGGGATCTAACAGAATATTCCAAACCCAGTCATTCTGATTAGGTATTACTTATATCCCTAACCAAATGGCTATAGATTCCTTAAGGAGAAAATCCTTTGCCGTATACAAGTTTGTGAATTGCCTAGTACCCTAACTCAAATAACTAATCCTCAAATGAACAAACAGATGTGTGAATAAATGGGTGAAAAGATTCAAATTCTCATCAACGCCGTTAGAACCAGCTCAAATGCTGTCTAAAAATAACGTGGATGGAAAATTAAGTGTACCTGGCATACAATATTGCTGCGAATCACAAATAAATAACCCAGTAGAGGTTGGACCTAACTTTTCTTCACGTTATCCTTTCCCATCTCACATCTCTAGAGACCCAGGAAATTACCAGATAATGAGGAAATAACTGTAGCTATCAAATACATCACACCACTTGTGCACTGGCCCCCTTTGTAAGCCCTATGAGGGAAATGTTATCTTTATTGTCATTTTACTGATGCAGAAATGGACGCACAGAGAGATTAAAGTAACTGGCTCAAGGTCCTAGCTAGTGACAGGTGGAATTGGAATTCAAAGACTCTCTGTCTGGCTCCAGAGCCCCATGCTTAGCTACGCTATGCTCCGAGGATGAACAAGGGGAGGAAATTAACGCAGTAGCTTGCTCCCTTCTTTCATTTATTTATTCCTTTTCCCCATTTTTTCTAAATCTCAGAAAGATCAAAAATGTGTGTTGTCCCTCCTTGCATGCTCATCCCTACCTCTGCTCCTCCTGTCTGGCAAATGGTGTTGGTGTGTCGTCGATCAGATGCATGTAGAAGTCATTTCAGCACTCAAGGGGGGAGTGTAGAACAGATTGCCTTTAGAGTGAAGATGGAAAAATCTGGCATTAAAGGATCATCTCCAGTTCTCGGGAAAGGGAAAAAAAGAAAAGTGTTTATACAGCAAAGGAAACCCAAACTTGTTGCAAGTCTGACATTTGGGAGGAAGACGTGCTCATATGCATTATCTTGACTGTTTCTGATAGTCTGCCTTTGACAACCTCACATGGCAGTCCCGAATGACACCTGTTTCTCCTGCACCTTAGTGCAAGGGGACATGTGCCTGAACGCACAGATGTCCCTCACCAGTCTTTACCTGCGGGCATGCCTAATTGCACCCCAGACATTGCCTTCTGACTCCCCAGGCCCAGGCTGCAAGTTTTTGGATTTGCTTCAGCCAGGAAAAAAAGTTCCTAAGGATCAAAGAAAAACACAGCTAAACAAACAGTTCTGTGTGTTGGCAGACTCCAGACAAGAGCTAGAAAAAGACACAAAAGGAGAAGACTCTATTACTCCTCCGCAGAAACATTCAGTGCCACTCCACATCCGCTCAGGGGGGTCTGAAACCTTCCCAAGGAAGCTGCCCATTTGCTTTATGAAGTCACTGCACTACCCGGCTCTTTAGCACTGTCTCTCAGTTATACCCACTTGCCACTCCTTCTACCTCTGACTAGAAAAAGCAAGCATTCAGCCCACAGCGTGGAGAGTGGAGGGTGGGAGGGGTGGAGGGAGCCAGGAGCTAGAAAGAGACATGGAAATGGGTCAAATCAAGACACCTCCAAGCTGCCCCTGTACCTTCTTGAGTACGTGCCAGAATGTGTGTGTCTGGGAGACCTGGTCTTCAGATCTCACAGAAGTTAAGTGGTACGCATGAACTATTTTGTACTCAGCCAGTTGAAATGAAATGTGGTGTGGGATTCCTCTGGGAGACTTCCTTCGCTAACTTTCTATCAACTCTTATCCTTGGGGGAAGCACAGTGCATCCAGTGTATTCAGCAAATATGATGTGTGATGTGTTTAAAATGCACCTTTATTTTTGCCTCAGTGTCACGTGAAATGTACTGAGTGGGTATAATATTCTCCTCCCCTGGGTGAAAATTCCAGCAGGCCTAGGAATTTTCTGCTTCCTCCTAGGTAACTGACAGTTCTCGAAGTCCCTTCAGGTCCCAAACACAGATTTTTTGCAGGGCCCTTTTTCTTGTAATTCCCATGCCTCAAGACAGGTGGCTCCCTCGCTTACTTGTAGGGACCCCTGCCGCCCCAGTGCATGCGCACAGTCCATTCCCAGCTGCTGTCTGCTCAAGTGCCCTTACCGTCTAGGCCCTTTTGGATAGGGCCCAAGCTGAGCCCAGGCCAGCTCTGGACCCTCACACATCACCTGCCCTGACACATCTGTCTCGACCAGTAGCTGTGTCTGACCTCTGACCTCATAGAGGCCATCTGCCTCCTCTCTCTACCCTCCGGGCAGGAAAGACACC